TTTCTGTTAGGCTCAAATAGAATTAAATAAGTGATTTCAAGGCCACTAAGAATATTAAGCATATTTGTCTGTGAAATATGCTTATCTGCAATATCTTAAATGAGTTAAAATGAGTTTTTAAGCTTAAAATGAAATTTTTCCACTTACGTTAAAGCATGATTTATATACAGTAAAATTCACTCTAATGCACAGTTTTGTGACTTTTGACAAATGCATGGTCATGTAATCACCACCACAATCAAGATACAGAAGAGTTCCATCACTCTAAAACCTCTGTGCCTTGTGTCAGTTTCCCCCCTCACCCTAAACCCTGGAAACTGCCAATTTGATTCATGTCCATATAGCTTTGCTTTTTCCAGAAGGTTATATAGATAGAATCATACAGTATGTATCCTTTTGAGTCTGGCTTCTTTCTACTTAGCATAATGCATTTGAGATTCATCCATGTTGCCAAGTGATCAATCATTTGTTTCTTTGTATTACTCAGAGTAGGTATTCCATTGTAAAACACACCATGTTTTTTTTTTATCTATGCCTCCACTAAAGGACATTTGGGTTGTTTCCAGTTTTTGGCAATTACAAATAATGCCACTTCAAATATTATCATAAAGTCTTGAATGTTCAACATGTATTGGAAAATTAGATTCTCAAGAAAAGTATGAGTTTCCTCAACACCTATCCTCTTGATTTCCAAAGCAGACCCCAAAAAGTGTTAGAAACGAATATTGTTCTGGAATAAGTTAATTTAAAAATGTAACAAAATTTGTTTCTCCAATTTAAAAACAAGTCAGTGAAAATGCTTATAATTAAAGTTTATATTAAACCCAGGAATATACCACACTGACTCTTCTTGATATCATGAAAGAACTATCAAAATTAATATGTCTATTATAAAACTTACTCTGATATTTTGGGGAAATGGCTTGTGTGTGGCACATGTGTAATTGTCATCTCAAATAGAGCTATGGTTTCTGTTACCACCTCTCTTGGCTCTCATGTCTCTGATTTAGGTATTGTCCATGTTAGAATGGGATAGTTAATGTAAGAAATATGGGCTAATGTATGCTGCAGGCTCTGAAAGTTTGATTTTAATAAAAGATACTTTTTAAAACCTTGCCTTCAGATATTATTAAATAAAGAAAAATTCTTACATGTATAAAACAAAATAATCTATCACATTTAAAATGCTTTTCTAGATTATGAAAGGATCCTAACAGTGACCTCTTTTCCTTAACAGCTTGGTCATGTATTTCCTTAATCATCACTCATTATTTTTGTCTGAAAGCTTGTGAGTGCTCCCCTGGACACACACCATGCCAGGCCTTTGTTGAGTCTGGGTCTACCCTTAAGCGTTTTGCAACTCAAGACAGAAATAGATGAAAGACATAGATGAATGTATAAAAAACACAATATCAGTGAATGAACATACACTAAATGTACGTAATAGAAAAGATTAAAGTTGAAAGAACATTATTGTTTTGTAGGGTGATGTCGCAGGAGGTTCATATATAGACAATAAAGATAGATATATCTACTTTGCTTTTTTTCTGAAAAAGTTTATGGGACTAATTGAGGTATCAGGAATTACTCAAATGAAGGAAAGAAAAGGACTTGTCAAGGGTGACGTTTGAGGTACAAGTTGTATAGGTAAAGCCAGTGGGATGTGCCGAAGGTCACCCCTCTGATTTCTGTGCCTCTCACATCAGGAATATAGGAAGCTGTAGAGGAATGCTTCTGTGAGCCTTCAGTTTCAAAATGGAAAACCACTAATTAAGAACGGCGTTAGAAAATATATTCTTGGTTTGTTTCAAGTGTGCACGTGCAGAAAATGGATGTATTTCTCACTGAAGGCTCCAATAACACACACACAGTGAATTTAAGAAGAGGTAGCAGTTACAGCGGGGATGGCTGAGCCTCTTTGGGAGTATGTGTCCTTGTGCATTACCAGTGTATTGACTCAGGAATGACAGCAACAATGCAGAACACTCTGTGCATACATGATGATAATAGAAAGGGAATGAAGTCATGGGTGAAAATGAGAGGATGGATTACTTGGCAGCTTTAACTTGGAACCAGCCAAATACAGTTTGCTCTATTTTATTTCTGGTATCCTAAAAATTTCCCATAAGCTAAATCAATGACCGAAAATTTTCCCATGTCCCATAAGTTAGGTATTTTCTCCACTGCCAAAAGTAAACATACATGATAGCTTATGAAATTTCTCAAGCTAATTATTTTACCACTTATTTAGTTGCAAGTGGTAAAATAGAACCTACTTTTTGCATGAGTTTGTGAAGGGGAAAAAACCCCACACATAATTACAAATAGTGTAATTATTTACGTGAATTGAGATTTCTTTTTTGGTACTTTATATACAACTTTTTAATCTTGTTTCTACCTTCCTCTTCTATTATTTTTTATTCAGATTTTATTTTTTTAGAGCAGTTTTAGATTCACAGCAAAACTGAAGAGAAGGTACAGAGATTTCTCATATACTCTCTGTCCCCACACATGCCTAGCCTCTCTCATTATCAGCATTCTCCACTGCAGTGGTATGTTTGTTAAAATTGATGGACCTACATTGACACATGATTATCCTAAATCCATAGGCTATATTCCAAGGTTTTTATGATAGGAACTGCTTTTATTTCCCCTTCAGAACTGGATAAGATCAATTTTGTATAAAAATTTATGTAATATTGAATAAAGTACACTGGAATGATATTCTTATAAATTGGCATATTTTTAATCTCAGTAGAATATTATACTGATATAAGAAGTTTGCATTAAAAATATAATGAAAAATAAAATCTGACTCTTTAGAACTTTATTAAAATGATGATAAAGGGGATATCTAAGCATTCTTTTTCAGATTTAAATGCAAATGCCACTTGGAAATTTTTTTCATTTCTAGATACAATTCACTAAAATCCATTTACGCTAGTAATCTCTGACTCGTAAGTTTTAGCGGTAAGCCCTTATTATTCCATAAAGTATTAGATGGGTTTTGCTTTTCATTTCCTTCAGACCTACTCCATCCGTTGATTTGCAGCAAAGCAAAAGAGTAGGGGGAAATTACCCAGATGAAATTCTTTATCACTGAAGAGAAAATATAGAATCAGCCACACCAGATGTGATCTCAGAATTTGTCCATTCTTATTTCGTAGTGCAGGGCTGCTTTGAAAAGTCTTAAATCTTGGGAACTAACCTGCAACAGGCAGGTAGTAGAAGATTCCTGACATTGATGTAGTTGTTGAATATTTGCTCAGTAAGTCTTTTTCTTTTATTCAGTATGTGATTGAATTGCATAGGAAGAAAGATTGGCTATGAATGAAAGTATATTAGGGCATAGAAAGCATGCATATTTTTCTTATTTGCTATTAGAACCCATTCTTGAGTTAGCTAAATTGATGTCCATGTTTATAAGAATTTGTGAGCAAGTAATATTTGAAATCCCTCTCTAATGCCCATCAGGTCACCATTTTGCAGTCCATGTGCTCATGGCCTTTATCTGGGATGTCCAGCTTCCAAGGCTACACCATAGTTGCTGTAACCCTTAGGTTATCAATAAAGTTATTAGCTTGTGCTCTGGGCGGTGATGGTGGACTTTCTGTCACTGCATCACTGTGCTTTCATCACGCCATAAACTGTCATTTGGATTCCAAGGTCTCTCAAACAAACAAGAATTCAAGAATCAGTGTTGAAAAAGTCTTCCAAGACGGGTAAAAATACACTTCAGAAAAATCTTAGGAGAGATTTTTCTTTCATCCTGAGCTTCCTAGAGACTCAGATATGTATTTGAAACTTGCAAACCTTCAGGTTTTTCAAAAGGTCTTGTAATGGGCACAGAGAAAAGCCCTTAAATGTGTTTTCATTCTAACTAGTGAGAAGAAATCAAAATGGAAAAGTTATTTCAGGCTTAATGGCTCATATACCAAAGGCCTCTTGCTCCCTCTACAGAAAGTGCTTCAAAATTGCAGCCACAAAGATTTTTTTTTTTTTTTTTTTTTTTGATTTTTTTACTGAAACAGATTTATCTTGAGTTTCGTGATGATGAGCAAAAAGCTTTGGGTCCGTATGTGTCCCTGGGGTCTTGCAGACTCGCTGGTCGCCCAGGGCAGCTGTCTGCCTTCCCGCTGTGGTGTTTTCACTGGCCTCAGCAAGGGGTAGGGTAAACTCCAGGAGCAACAACTGTGAAACCAGGAAGATTTGTTTGTTTGGCTTTGTTTTATTTTATTTACTCTCATGGATGAGTAAAATGCTTAACGTTTCTTTTGATATTACTTGATTGTTTTACTCATTTTCATTCTTTTTTTCTTTAGCCATAGAATTTAATCCAGAAAATAATGTACTCTGCCTCAAAGACTCAAGTTCTCTTATTATCTTCTTTTAATTGTTCCAGTCATTTTTAGTTCTTAGTTGTTGGAAGAAAATTAAGAATTTGAATTGTAACTTCACAGGAGAAAGTATTGATTCATTTAATTCAAGTGAATTTTTTTTCCAACTATAGGTAATATTCACAAGAAACAGTTTGACCTTTCTATAAAGACTTCATTATTACGTAAAACTCCAGTGCATATATATATATATATATATATATATATTTATTTATTTATTTATTTATCATCTTAATTTGCCCATTTAAGTTACATTGGAACAAAATAGTAATATTTTTAATAGCTTTGGTTTGAATAATTTTATGCGTTCTCTTACTGCTCCAAGATCTTTTTATTTTTTTGACAGGTTACTAGTTTTCCTTAGTGTGCCATTTAAAATCATAAGTACGAAATTCTTTTATTCCATCAATAGAGTCTTCACAAAAGATTGAAACTCCTCTTCGTCTGTCTTTAGTATAAGAACAGTTCTTCTGATGTTACCCTGTAATTGGAAAATGACACAAGTGACAAAGTAGCTTCTTTGATTTTAGTCTGTGACGTCAGCCTTGCCTATTCTAAATTACAATGCTTAAGCTAGACTGGATTTGTTTTTTCCTCTGGTAGGTGTACTGGTCCATTAGCAAATTCGCTTTCAGAGAAAACAAGAGACCCAGCAGAAGAGGAGGATGAGGAGTACAAGGTTCCTTCATCCCACCCCGTTCCCCTGAACTCACAACCGTCTCACTGTCATAACCTGAAACCTTCTCTTAGGTAAGAAAATGCGCGGCTTTTTGTCACCTCACATCTGCATGAGCATTATCACTTGTGGTGGTTGTTTTTAGCAATGGAATCACATCTATTTAATTAAAATTCCTTGATTTCTTGCTCAAAGCCTCCTCTTCCTATACACTATTTTCTGCATTACTTTCAGACGGAACTAAAACATGGAGATTTCTCCTTAATCAGAAAGTCATTTCTCCAAATTAGTTGACTAGTGAGTCTAACGGAACATTTTGTGGCCCTTCTCCCCCCAAAAAACAAATTATACTCAATAAAACTGTGCTCTAGGTTACATACAGTGGTGATTGATTCAAGAATTTTCAGTAAGCTATTTTCAATGCATTTTATCAGTTCTGAACACATATGTCATGAAGAAAACTTAGTGCTTAGAAACCAAGGTATTATGCCACCCTTCCTTAGGATTTTTCTTCATGCTGAAAGACCAGTGTAATTTATATTCATTTCCCTTCTTGATATGCTACCTCCTCCTATTCAGATCTTGAAGAAAGAAGTAAAAACAAAAACCTAAAATTGTTTTAAGTGTTTCTCATCACGTACTGTTTTACTTTTCCTTGGATCAGATAAGAATCTGAGAAATAGTGTTTTCTTTTCTTTTCTTCCTGACAATTTGTTTATCCTCACTATAATGGCGATATCCTTGGTCTCTGAAGTGCCTGCCCCATTGAGGTATATAGGAGTTATTAAAAATGAGTGTTGTGTATTGAAATATTAGTTGTCTTTAAGTAGAAGGGTGATTCTGCATTTATATAATTGAATTAGTAAATTGTAACCGAATATTTTTCTGTTTATTTTTTTTAATCTGACATATATGAGGTACTCAGTAAGTCCAGTCTCAGCTTCTGAACTTTCTGAGCTCCAGTTTCCTTTGTATAACAACATCTCTGGAGCTGTGCTCGGCACACAGACTAGTGCTCAACCACAGCTGGTGGCCTGGCCTTCCTGCCTCCCAGTATCTCTTGGTTGACAGAAGGATAGGAGAGCACTGAGCACTTCAGTCGTCTGTGTCATCTTTACTTAGTGTGCCACTTCCTTTTGAGGTCAAGTCAATCAACGGAAAGTGTTTTATGAGTGGAATGTTCTTTTCAGATGAAAACTATAAAAAATACTTTAAGGCCTTTCTTTGAGTATCGCAATGAGGTAGAAAATGCAATACTAGGAAAAGAGAGGTAGATCTTCATTTTAGCCAGAAATCTGTCTTAATGAGTGATCCTGGTTAGCATTATCAACACTGCAGAGTTATTAACCAGGATTGTTAACACTCTGCAGTCCAGGGCTTCATATTTCAAAGCAAGAATCAAAGCATTTCTCCCTAGTTGCTGGTGTTTAAGGCATTTGTTGATAAAATAGTATCATCGAGAAGGCAAATAACTGAGAGTCAATTTGTTATATCAGAAGAACCAATGTCTACTGCTCTGATTAGAGAAGAAAGTTATTCCTTGACATCGAATATAATTGTTACAACTTTCCGTTCCTTTGGCTTTTACAAATGTGTAGCAATTTTTAAAAACTGAGATAAGTTGGGCTTTTTTGGTCTCCTTTGGAGTCTCATTTTTTTCCTTGGTGGAGAAGTGAGAGAGATAATTTTAATACTTTAAATTTTATTTGTCATATCATACAGGATGAGATTTTTAGTGGCAGGCCTCCCAACTCCTGAAAGTAAATTTGAATTATGACCACCATTACCATCTTTCTGCTGTTATAGAGAAGTAATAAATGTTGATAATCCCTAAATTTAATTGGAGTGAATTTTTTGTCTAATTTGTTCTTGAAAAGTGATGGATGAGGTATCTTCTGTGTCCTCTACAAAGCACTCTTTAAGCTTAAACACTTCCTTCCTTCTGGTTTTGTTTTTTTTGCCCCTGTGGAACATCAGGAGAAGTAAATTGCCAGTATGTGGAAAAGTTAAACAGTAGGTAAATAATTAAATTCGGTTTCAGTAAAAATCTATCAGTATTATGAAAATTCAGTACATGGTAAATCTTTTTAAATGAACCATCTCTGGCCCCTTAAAGAGACGAGGCCACCAGAGAGAATGGAAATGAATTTCCAATGCAGCACACTTGCATTGACTATTCAAATATCCAGTCTCCTCCATTGTTTGTGTACTTTTACTTTGCCCCAAGAATTCAGAGTAAATCAGAGAAAAGTAAAATATGAACTCTGCTTTCTATCGCTCTTTGTGAGCAAAATGGTGTGGTGAGCAGAGAGCTCATTGTTTCCTGGCTGTGTCCTGAAGACAAAATGCACTCTGTGTCCTCTCTTCCTGCCACTGTCTTCCCATGCCCCAGTTTTGTTCATTGTGGTTCATAGTATGACTCCAAAGTATTCATACCAGCAACAAAAATACTTATTAGTGAGTATTATCCTTTACAGACACCAGATTGAAATATTTGTCATGTACCCAAGGCCTTTGCTAAAGTCGTTTTTTTACAGTTGTCAGAAGTGCCAGAGTTTTCTTCACGGCAGCAGTGAAATTATACCTAGACTCTAGGTCTTTGAATATGCCCGTCAGAATTTTAATAAATTACTTAGCGTTTAATGATTCTCCTTTGATGGCCTCTAGTTTATTATAAGGAAAGCTTAAATTAGAGAAATAAAAATATGTTAAATACCATCAGCAAATAATGAAGCCATTGGGACTATGTATTTTTTACTTTATTACATTTTTTTTTTCCGAAAACTTGACAAAGTATTATTGAACTCTTGCAAAACAATGTGTGAATTTCGCAGATATGTTTAGGGTATCAACAATATTTGTGGCCCTTGGAATTCTTGGTTTCGCTTTAAAAAAAACAAAGAGGCACTGTCTTCCATGGAATATTTACTTCTGTAAAAGTATTTGAGTAAGAGTATCTAGATAATATTACTTGTACTTTTTGCAGAAAAGGAAATTAATTATATTTATTTTCAAATTTTATTATATGAACAGAGTTGCTAGTTCGCATCACCCACCGCCTGAATTTTAAACGGAGAGTAATTCTCCTTATGATTTTTGTCCTTTGATCTGTGCTTTAGGTCTTGTGACAATGGTCATTGTATATTGAATGGAACACATGGTACATCTTCAGAGATGAAGAAATCAAACATCCCTGAGTTAGGCATCTATTTAAAGGGTATGTATGCAACGTATTCTTTTTATGTTCTACATCTTAATGGTCAGAATTTAAAGGCAAATTTTCATCCCATTGTTGTACTGAAAATACATTAAGATTTTGTGTTATCCTCTAGGAGATGTTTTTGATTCAGCCTCTGATCCAGTGCCATTACCACCTGCCAGGCCTCCAACTCGCGACAGTCCAAAGCATGGTTCTTCACTCAACAGGACGCCCTCTGATTATGATCTTCTCATCCCTCCATTAGGTTGAAACCTTTAAAAAATTTTCAAACAAGCCACCCTGTCTCTTCTTTCCGTTAATATCTGAATTATCAGAATTCAGATTTCAGTGTAACGCAGACTCACAGGGTTGTGAATTCATCTGAATTAGAATGGATTCTCCACGTGTTGCTGGCTCTCAAGTTCATGTGACCATTATTCCATTTAGATGATTGAAGCAATAATGTAAATAGCTGGGCATCAGTCAGTGTTTTATCAAGTCATATTCTTCATGTACTAAATGCAGTCTATAAAACCTGTGGGAGTATTGTTCCTTCTCCCAGGTGCTTTTCTTATAGTAGATTTCAAGTGTTATCTAAGATTTTAAGTACAGTTCTTAATGAATGTGTACTTACTTTTTCTTTCAGCATAAAATGACCCATTTCCACTAAGCTAATTACATTATGGAAAATTATATATTTTATTGTCGAGAGCTGAGAATAAACTCTGTCTTATAATCATTGCAACTACAACACACCCAAAGAATCTCAATTTCTTTGTTTCCAATTTTAATATGAAGTACTGTAACGTGTGTTTGTGTGTGTACACGTGAAGGTACACCCAGGTGTGTATGTTACAGGTGGCTGGTGCAGGTGTCTGTGTTTATTTCATTAATTTTAAGTAGGAAGCTTCTCACCTTATTTTTAAAGGAAGACAGTGAGAACTTCCTCGCACCTTAAGGCTTCGCAATAACAAGTCACCCTAATGTGAAATAATGTATGATGAAAGTCCATTTGTTAGTTTATCGGAATTGGTTACTAGGCTCCTAGAAGTATGAAATGAACCTTTCGATGTTTTCCACAAACGCCATCGACCAGTGTTTCCAGCATATAACTGCAATGTCTTTTGCTCCTGTTCTTTCTGTAGTTCAGTGCTTTATTCTCACCTCCATGAATTACAGGAGCCCACTAACTTCCTTCTTTATCTCCAGTCTTTTTCTCCCTTCCACATCCTCTTATACGCTGGTTGTTGGCCTGTTCCCCAGGCTTCATGACCTAGATGAGCACGGTCCGGTAGAACTTTATGTGGTGATGTGAAGGATCAGTGTATTTACCTGTGCGACCGTGGAACTGAACTTTAGCTAATTGAAACTAGATAGCTATATGTGGATGGTGACTACCACACTGGACAGTACATATAATTGTTCCAACCTGTCTTCTTAACCCGGCCTTCCTCTCGCTCTTCATGTGCATCTCAAGCTTTACTTATACTAGTCACTTTGCCCAGAAGGCACCATCCTCGCATTTGATGAGGAAATGTTTTGAGCCCCTGAAATCCCAGGCCACCTTGTTCCTGGTGACACCTTGCTGAATGCCACTTTCTGCGTTTCCCTTCCCTTGTACAGGGCATAGCACTCTCTGTGGGACCTGTGGGCCATTCACTGGTGAATCATTTGTGAACTTTTCTTAGATCTCCTTGTGGAAGCTAAGCTCCTTGGTTCAGGCCCTGTGATTTTGATCTTCACGTTACCCATGTGCCTAGCCTGGTGCCTGACACTGAGGGGCTGAAAGAGGATTTGAATGAATAAAATAATGTAGCAGATAGCTGAAGGTTGGAATGATAACGAAGCTCACTCTTGCCTCCTGTACCTTCAAATATTTTAAGTTAGAAAAAGATTTGTGATCTTTGGAGAAAATATTTTGAATATTTTTTGCAAGGCAAGCTGGATGAATGGTAAAACCATTTTTTTAAATATACCTTTGTGTTTAAGTCAATAAACTTAAATGCATGTAAATTTTTATTAACTGTAATATGTAGGTGTTTGTTTATACTCTGTTTCATTCACAGATATTTGCGATCACTTACAAAAATACATACGCCGCAATTTTATTTTATTTTTTTAGAGTCAAGGGAAACTCTGAGTAGAATAGTAAGATGTAGCAGGGGAAAAATAAGTAGACATAAAAGCATGCTGTGATATTCTGTAGTTACTAAAGCTGGGAAATATGCAAATATAAGTGACTAGCTTTGGCACCACAAAAGGTAGTTCTATATTTAACTGTTTCTCTTTAGATCTGATAAGTAGACAAGTACCAGATTCCTACTGTAGGTGCATTTTCTATATGTTTTGACAATAAGATATATGGAACATTAGTTTAAATGAATTAAAATCCAGTGGAATAAACTTCAAAAGATAATCTGAAGTATTCTGTGACATTAAATATTTTGTGCATGGTGTGATTTTCTATTTAGAGGCAGTGAACTCTCATTGTTACACAAAGAATTCTATTTTAATGGTATGACCTATAATTTTTAGTGCATGCTTCCAGTGTCTTAATATAAAGATTGCAAGCGAATAAGAAGCTGTTTCATAACGTGCAATGCTTCTTTTTATTAGAAAGGCCTGGGAGATAGAAAAGTTGACACCTGCACATGTGTGTTTGTGTGTCTGTGTTTCTCTCCGAACACTCCCACAAAATAATTGGCTTCTGCTATCAAAGTCAGTGAACTGCTGGATAAACCCTGCAGGGGAAGTTCTTGATAAGCGGCAAGAGAAAGTCAGTCATTACTTTGGCTGATACTGTGTTTTGATTAATGAAGTTCTGCTGTTGATACTGACCTTTCTTCACGTGCAGGTGAAGATGCTTTCGATGCCCTCCCCCCGTCCCTCCCGCCTCCCCCACCTCCCGCAAGGCACAGTCTCGTCGAACATTCAAAACCTTCTGGCTCCAGTAGCCGACCATCCTCAGGACAGGAGCTTTTCCTTCTTCCTTCAGGTAGGAGAGAAAAGCCAAGGGAAACGTTTCACTTAAAGGAAAAATAGTTCTAACATCACACTGTCAAATATGTATTAATAATTCTTGGTTTCTAGCTCCCTAGCAGGAGAATCCGTGGGTGGGGCAACCGCAGTGGGCAGATTTGTTTGTCAATTAGTTGGTTTAATGCCAAAAAGATCACAAAAGTGGCAAAGCAAGAGGAATCAGAGAATTTGGAAGTGGTGCTATAGAGATGATCCAGTTCAAATAACACCCTTATGTCTCAGAAGGTGTCCCGAGAACCAGAGGGCTCTGTGATTGGGAGAGTGATGAGGACAAAATTTAGACTCTGTCTCTGGATTGTGAGTGCAGTATTTGTTTTCTATTAATAAGATTTTTCAATTTTACTAGATATGCCTTAGGATCATAATTTTATTCAAAAACATAATATTTTGGTAAATTGCGTTGTAACATTAATAGACAAATTTTTCTGAAATGTCTGCATTTTGTTTTGATACTGTTATTTTTAATATGTCAAGGTAACTACTAAAATTACTCATCTGCAAGGAAAAATTACTACATAGCTTTTTTTTTTTTTTTTAACTCAAATGAGGAGTAGAAATAAGAATAAAGAGACATAGTAAGCCGTTCGCTCCCTCAGTCAGAAGAAAGAGTTCAGTTGTGTTGGATTTGCTGACAGGAACTGTTCCAGTCTGTCCTGTTGGTGACACTGTGACCTGTGCTCTGGAACGTGTGCTGTCTCCATTTGGTTTGGTTAAACACAGGCTGAAGATTTCCCTTATTAGCAACTGCTTTACATTTCTGTATGAGAGCAAATGTGCAGTGTTTAAAGAGTGCTTTGGCACCTGGATGCCTCCTTGAAAACTGGGACATCTTAGCTAAGATCATTCACCTTTAGCATTCATTTTTCTCAGGTTTTTTTTCACTTGGTTTGATAGCTTAGAAAGTGATTTGTGGATAAGATGCAAAAATTATAGACATATAATTGGAATACGTAGCTTCAGTTTCTAAAAGTAGTTTATTTTCAAGAAATAATTTTGATTTTAATTTTCATCAGTAAATATTGATTGAGTTGTCCCTGTGTCGCCCACTCTGCTGGATGCTCCCTGCCCTCGTGGAGCACAGGAACTCACTGGATGCTGCCAGCTGAGGAGGGTTGTCACCCTTCTGTTCCAAGCAGAAAGCACGGATAACTCTTGGGCTCTATTTGTATAGCAATCTAAGAACACTAACATTTTGCTATCTTTTTCACATACGCTTATTCAGATCTTTGTCTTGTCATGAACTTTACCATTTTAATAAAATAAGCCATTCTGAATCTTAGTTGACTTAACCTTTCACAAGGTTGACTTCTGGATAATTTGTGGCCAGATTCCTACAATGTACCTATCACCTTTTATGTATGTGATTTAAGCCCCGTTAAATGGAAGCTTAATGCAGTGCCTTCTTTTACAATTAAGTCAAGTTTTCCAGGACCTGGAAACAAACATTTTACACAGGTACACACTTTTACCTGTTTTTATCGAAAGAACTAAGTGTAAAATGTTTTAATTCTTTATCATAATTCTGTTATTCATTGTGCTTTATGTAGAAGTCTTCATAAAAAGTCCTCTCAAGATTAAATATTTTAAAAAATTACTACTTCAAAATGAAAATGCCTCCTTTTGTCTAGATAAAACAAAAGTCGTATAAACTGTTCCAGAGAGTTTGCTCATTTGGGTTTTACTTGGCTGCCAGGACGCTTAGCAGCAGTTTTCCTTAGTCTGTGGTGTGGGGCTAACATGGACAGAACGGTGTCATTTGGACCTATTGCTCTCTTGACCTCTTTTTATACATAGAAGTATTCTAATTCTGTTCCCAATAGCATTGACATCCTTAATAATAAATACTTCAAAGAAAAAATGACAACTTTTTTCCTTTTCCAATCCTTCATGTCATTGATGTGACAAATTTCTAGTCCATTGCCAGATTCTTTATGAGATCCATTGAGACAACTGTTTCTCTTGTTTTAAACCACATGTGTTAGCTCTCCTCCTTTTCAAACGAAATATTTTTATTCTTGTTACATGTTTTAATCCTAAGTGTAGATATGAAATTTTACTTTAATTAGTTTTTAAAGAATTTATTTTTAAAAACTTTATTGCTTTCAGATTTTCCTTGTCAGGAGACAGTTGGTAATTATTGTACTCCATGTAGTAATTGTGTTGTATATAATATCTTTTCCCAACGAAGCGTGAATGCTTCCAACTTTACAAGTTTACACAGAAGCCTGGTTTACACTCTGCCTGACCAGTGGCAAACTTAGCATGAAGCAAGACAGAACATTACCATGGTTCAGAGTTGAACTACAGTGTAAAGAAGTATTTTTGCTATTTATAGTAATGTTTTTCGTGTCCCTAGTAACATTTTAAGTGAAATAGTTTATTGGAGCAATATCATACAGCTGTATATGTTGTGGTCTATGTATGACTCTGCGATGTATCCAGAATCTGATGTTTAGTCTTAGATAATAGTTGATTAGAAATAGCATAAGTATAGCTGACAAACCTCTGAATTACCCCAACGAAATAAAGCGTATGTATTATAAATGACAATTTTTCCTCTGACCTAATGTATCAGTGATGTTTTAGAATACACAAGAAGTGAGAGTAAATTTTATTGAGTATTTAAATCTAAATCTTTGGGAAATTTCTAAATTTATGGAGAAATCGCCATGATTGGTTCCTTTGGTTACTCTTCCAAATCAAAAGATTAACATTTTTTGCATGGAATTTGATTTATCTTCTCATTCCTTCCTAAAATGTTTCAGCAAAATTAATGAGGCTGAACCATTGACTCTTCAGATATTGAAAGCTCAAAATCTAAGGCTCATTTTAATCTTGAAATTAATGAAAGCAAGTTAAATAGCCTTGCTTAGGCCAAAAAGTTGCCAGCAAAGCTGAGGATAATTATTGTACTCCAATAGGGGAAAATAATCAATGACTTCAACTCTTGCCTTCCACTGTCTAGTCAAAAATTAGTATAGGCATGGATTTACTTCTTAAATAACGAAATTCTTACATATTCTTAAGGTCAAACTAAATGGAAGTTAAAATAATGAAATATAATCAGATCTTTAATATTTGCAGTTTTAGGTTTATGTTAGCAGTTCAAATTTCACTGATTTTGAATTTATGAAAAATCTGAATCTGTCTAGGTTTATTTTTGTCATTTAAAAGTAGATATTGGGGCTGGCCTGGTGGCACAGTGGTCAAGTTCACTCATTCTGCTTCAGCGGCCCGTGGTTCTCCAGTTTGGATCCCGGGTGCAGACCTACGCACCGTTTGTCAAGCCATGCAGTGGCAGGTGTCACACATAAAGTAGAGGAAGATGGGCATGGATGTTAGCTCAGGGACAGTCTTCCTCAGCAAAAAGAGGAGGATTGGTAGCAGATGTTAGCTCAGGGCTAATCTTCCTCAAAAAAAAAAAAAGAAAGAAAAGAAAAGTAGATATTAAGTGCAAGCTATTTGCCAAGCAATGTGCTTGGTACTGTGTTGTGATAAGAGACATAATTCAAACATGACGAGAAAGAGAGTCCCTGCCTTCAGAAGAACATAGGCTGCCTTTGGAGACACTGGCAGACGTAATGTAGAACAATGTGAGAGAGGAGAAGAGAGGAGCCTGAGATGGAAGTGGTGGCACATAAATGACCATGAACCAGAGACTGCAGAGATAAAGTTCATCTGCTCATCAGGGGACCAGTTCTGTAGATTTAAACCCATTTTCTACTAATTTTAAACCCGTTAGGTTTATGGTCCTAATGACTTAATATAGTGGCACTGACAAAATCTTTTTTCTGCCTTTAGTTCCAGTTAATAAATATCACTAGGAGTGTTAAAATAGTTTTTGTCTACAATTCATATTTTTCACTATTTTAGATTCCCCTCTTTTGAGTGCCAAATGGTTAAAAAATATCACTTTTTATTGTATATTCAAACCTTAATCTTTATAATGGCACAGTTTTTAACAAGTGAATTTACTATTCTATTCAGTGAGCCAATTAACAATGATTTTTAGCACGTGATGCCCAATGTAATATTATCTTATAAAGCGCCTTATATGTACAGGAAATTTCACATATGTGAATTCATTTAATCCTCACAAATTCCAAATGTCAGGACCGTTTTAGAGATGATGTCTGCCTACCACTTGGAGAGATCAAGTGATTTGATACCTCTTACAGGCAAAATCCAAAACCCATTTTTTTCTTTTATTTTAGAACAGTTTCTGTTCATTGTACAAGACAGATTGGGAGAGAAAATAAAAATTAGAAGCAGATTCTATCAACAAATTTACAATAAGTAAGAGATCTGAAAAATAAAAATATAAAATCAGTAGTCCGTATCACCTAGGAATGAATGAGAAGAGCATGTTTGAGCAAGTGATGAATAAATTAGAAAATGGCTAATAGTCATCTGTTTTCTAATTTATTTTTTAAAAAATGTGATCCTTATAGAGAAGTTCTAGAATTTTTTTTCTTCAGCCAGTTGGCAGAGATCATCGTTTTAATTTGAAAATTATTTTTATTTTTAAGATCCCTTTTTTGATTCTGCAAGCAACCAAGTTCCTTTGCCTCCTGCCAGGAGATTACCAGGCGAAAATGTCAAATCCAACAGAACGTCGCAGGACTATGATCAGCTTCCTTCATCTGCAGGTGAGTTGGCTAATAATAGTAATAATAAAACCTTATGTTTGCAGAGCACTTTTTGCCTTTCAGGGCACCATTTCATTATGTAACTTAATGAGCACCGCCAGCCTAAGGAAGTATTTTTATTGCCTGTGCATTTTGCTTATAAAGCTTGAATTATGAGAGGACTACCTACAAAATTGCCTCATGGAAGAGAAAAAATCAGGCCTTAATACCATCTTTGATCAGTTAGTCAAGCACGTTCTCTGATTAGAAATCTGTTCATTCTCTAACTTTTGTTTTGCCTTATTAGATATGAGAAATCTCTTTGTACATTGAAATGCTGAATTCTCTTATTTCTCCATTAAAGGAAGAAATCTCTTCAGAATTAATATTAGCACCAAACTATTAATTTTCATCGCTTATTTATGGCTCCTGTGCAGTGCTCCACTGCCAGCCATTGGGTAGAAGGAAGTCTCATTTTAGGAAATACAAGTCTTACTCATAGCCATGAATTATGAAATGCTGCGTCTCTGCCTCTTCCAGAGCCCTCCTGGAGACCCTGTCTAAAACAGTCCCCATCTTCCACAGTCACTCTCTGTCCCCTTCTTGTGCCTTATTTTTCTTCGTAGAACCTGTCACAGCCTGAAATGTCGCTCATTTTCTTTGCTTGACTGTTGTTTGTCCATCTCCTCTGTTAGAGTATTAATGCTTTGAAGATAGGAGCGTGTTTGGTTCACTGCTGTGTCCCCGAGTGTCCAGAAGACTGCCTGGCACATGTTTCGTGGGTGGGTGGATGAGTAGAAGGAAGGGTAACTGATGTCTATGTTATGGTGAACACACACATACGTTTCGAGCAATATGAACAATATTGTTGTCTCATAGTTGTGAATAGCCGAAGTTTTTCCTATGTGGATTTTTGTCCAATTTCAAGAGTTTTATTTTCTGTTTTTAAGCTCAAACCGAGTCACAGAAGACTTAGTAGTGATAGCCACACATTCTGTAACTTCTGAATCAAGATCATTAATGAGCTGCTTTGAGAATCATCAGCATGGTAGTTCTTATGTACGTGACGACATGCGTGGGAGATGCAGAATCCCTCTAGAGTTTTATAAGTTCTCACGTTTGAATATAACTCAAGAAAGCATAGAAGATGTTATTAAAGTTTTCAAATTTTGATCCATGATCTCTTACCAATATACCTCTTGTCATTTCAAGATTTCAGATATAGCCACGTGTAGGCATTGAAACACTGTAGTTCTAGTCCAAAGGGTAGATTTCCAGATCAATGGAAAAATGTGAAAGTCAAGAAGAAGGGGAGATGATATCTGACAGCCTCTGTGTAAGAGAAGGAAGCAAATCCCTGAAGGAAGTAACGTTGAGATACAACTTTGAGGAAGGTAGCATGAGTAGTGTAAGATAACATAGTCAGTACCACCAACTCTGGAGTAAAATAAACATAGACTCAGGTTATGGGAAGAGTTGGGACCAAAACACTATTTTCACAGCTCCTCTGCAGTTTGTTCTGTAATCTGTGGGTTGTAGAGCCCAGAGGAACATCATGCGTATATATGATTTCAAGTGGTAGGAATTCTGATTAGCATTGCACTGGAAATTTCAAGGAAGAACTTTGACTCACGTACCTTGTTGAAATATCCCCAAAGAGGCATTTACCAGAAGCCTGAACTGGCTTCTACCTGAGTGCTAAAATCGTCTTGATTGTTACCCTGAGAGCCTCAGCTGCCTGTGACATCAAATATTTCACCCTTCTCCCTGAACTCTCTTTACAAACACAGTCCAACCACAGAAAATAAGATACTTTCTTATCCAACAAGATGTGTGCTCACATGCAGTTTGCAGGGCTTCCATGCTGTCTATGAGTTTAGTTCATCCCAGCAGGGGACTGGGATAGCCTTCTTGGTTAGGTCTTTGCATCAAAAACCTCAGACGGAGTGCTCTGTGCCTTTAGGGCTCTAATAACCCTTACTGGGCAATAACATGTTTTTAATAAGACATTTTTAAGATGACCATTGAGCAAATATAATTGCTGCACCTTAGAAATTCAATTTCTCTTATCTTTTATGGTGGCTAAATAATTGATGGTGACTTTTTTATGTATAAGCTTTCTGTGAATAGAATATTTCTAAAGAATTCAAAAATATAATTTCATTGGTTTAAAGTATCTTGCTTATCCTCTTATCTAAAAAAGACCTGTGCATGTATATGTATGTAGCATATACAAAGAGCCTTCCAAATGTTTTATTCCTCCCCCAAAAATATTCTATAATTTCCTTAAAGTTTTTTAGATATAACAATTGATATTTAATGATATGAGTATGTCAGAATGATAATTAGAAATAAGTAGATTTTACAAGACTGTGTTAAATTCACATATAACTGTATATGTGGCAAACCTTTTTGCTAATAATCTGATTATTTCTTCACATGGGTATGTTATTCACATGGTGTTCAAATCTATACTAGCTTTGTGTGAGTTTTTACAAGTTCTCCAGTTTACTTTTCTCTTATGGTAAGATATAATGTGCTACAACTTGAATACCATTCTTTAATCACCCAGGGAATCTAACTTATAATAGAATAACAAAGTCATAATGACGACGTGTTTGTGCTCATGCTGCTGAAGGGCCAGCATTAGCCCTTGAGGAGATCTTTCATAGACTTAGTTTTTAGAGGGCAGTTCAAGGTGACACTCGAAAACAATGCTGGAATTTCCTCACATGACTCATATTATGTGTGTTTGTAGCTGGTAAAAGATCTAATTGCCGAGTACACCAACAAAATAAAAGCGGTCTCATTATAGAAGGAATTGGTTCCAATACTACTTGTCTTTTACTCATTGAAAGGAAGAGTGATGGAATGTTTAATCAATTTTATATTAAGACCAAATATTCTGTAGTTATCTCCATTAAGATCTCAATTGGAAATCATGGCTGCACTTCATACAAGGGTTCGAATTGTGTATTGTCATTAGTGATAAGTTTTATGATAAATTATGTGTTTTTAAGATTTTGTTTTGTTTTGTGTCTCAAAGGAATTTGCAATGTCATAGAGTTTTACCACAATTCAACAACCTGAAATGTTTTTCCTTACATATAGCTTCAGTTTTAAAGCTGTAGAACCTAGATTTTTTTTTTTTAACATATCTAATACAAAGGTAGTTCTTTTATGACCATTTTCTTTCTGGATGTATTAAAAAAGTTGTATGTTATAACTTCAGCTTTAACTATTATAATTACCTACCACAGTATATGTGAAGATATTTTATTCATTCGTAGTTAGGGAAAACTATGAAACATGTCCCTCTAAAAGTAGACAGTATATCTATAGTGGCAGCAATTCGAGTTTATTAAGTTCCAGAATTAATTGATTCAACTTATAGTAATAACAAAGTCATAATGATGATGTGTTTGAGATTTGTTTTATGCTTTGATCAGTGAAATTTATGTTTTTTCTTTTAATTCTCAGATATTGTTATAGTTGAGAGGATCAGTTGTCTAAGAATCTTGATATCCATCCCAAGTATTGTCACTGAATTACTAAATAACTTTAGAGATTATGTCTCAGATTGTACATAGTAATCATTTTTAAAACTTTTTAATAAGCACTTACTATGGGTCAGATTCTATGATGAGTACTTTAGATATAGATATACAGATTATATAGAGAAAGTTAATTTCACATATATAACATATATAATTTACATAGTTATACATATGAAATATATTTATATATTTTACATTGTACATTGATAATATATTGAATATTTTATATAAATGCATATTACATTATATGATTATATACAATATAAATTTTATATATAATATAGATATAGATGTAATTTTATTCCTCACGTCCAATCAGAAATAGGTAATTTAATGTCAATGTATAGAAGAGAGTAAGACACAACAAAGTTTAGTAATTTACCACAGCATCATAGCTAGTAAGTATCACTGTGACAGGATTTGACTCACTTCTGTCTTTCCTCAGTCAACTATGCACACACATATGTTTTTGTTCGCAAGGTTGCTGTTGTTATCTCACCAGTAGCTAAGCCAAAATTAAGTTTGAACAGTCACATGTGTCTATACCAGCAATCGCTAAACTGAACCCGGAGATGCCCAATGATGAGATCAAGTAGAGAGTAGCAAAGGAAGAGTGATGAGAGGATGGAGGAGGCGTTGGAGGGAGCCTGGCTCCACCAGGAATTTCAGAACCTGGATTCTGATCACTCCTCACGTGACCTTAGCAAGCCACTCACTGTAGGGTTTTTATGGTTTTTATACATTTTGTACCAGCAAAATCAGTCTTTGTTTCTCATCTTAGCTCCTCGAGCAGCTCAGAGCTGTGAAACCCCCAGAGGGGACCTGAGGCTATTTTTTTCCCTAATTGTGAAAGGGGTATACGTACACTGGAGAATAAAAAAGAATTACAGGAAAACAAGAAGAAAGAGAGTCATCCATCACCGTCCCATCAATAAGGAACATCGTTACCGTTGTGGAGGGCTTCCTTCCGATGTGCTGTCTGTGTGCGTTTGCACATAGCTGAGATCATAATATGTCGATTCTGTCTCAGTTCCATTTGATGTAGTATCATAAGTACCTTATCACATCATTACATTTTTAAGTAAATGTTATTTTCAGTTATTGTATGATAGTCCATCATTTGTATGTGCTGTCAAACACTAATATTTTAAAACTCTAACAAACTCTAACTTTATATGCATGAAAACTAACACATTAAATCCCTTTTCTTTTGTCTAGAAATCTAGAAACTCGGTGTGATTGTTGTTGTTAAATAAGCCTTAATATAACAGAAATAGAAAATAGGAAAATTTGTTCATCAATATGATGATATTTCCTGGACCAAAGAAAATCCCCCCAAAGTTTAGATGCTGAGGGAAGTAAGAAGGACCTCTTACAGTAAAGCCGCTGGCGGCCACTGAGGGGAGCACCATCCACTCCTGTGGATGGAGGCGCACAGCACGTGTTCACTTTTTCTTTTTAATTATAGTCTGCCTAAGGGCCTTTTAGAACTTCTGTCACTAGTGTCTCCTGCCCCTCTGCAACAATGAAAGTGTAAGGGTGCAGATATACTTTCTATCTCTAGTTCATGGCCCTTTGGAGAGCCATGAACCCTTGTAGCATCTACGATTTTCGTGGTGGTGGTGGTGGTGGTTGTGCTGTTCACTCCAGAACGGGCAGTGTGGAGTAGAGGTTACAAGCATGGACTCTGAAGCCACGCTGCCTGCAGTCAAAGCCTGGCTGTACTCTTTATGAGCTGTGCAAGCCTGGGTAAGCTGCTTACCCTCCCTGAGCCTTAATTCTCCTTACATGAAATAGAGAACACTTAGCTCTTAGAGCAGATGTGAGGATTAAATGAGCTAACAGATAGAAAACAGAACAGTGCCTGGCCCATAGGGAGGGTGTGTAAGTGTTGCTGTTGTCACACAAACCAGTGATTGAATTGAGCTAGCATTTGATCCCCTTTAGTGCAACCCGCAAGGCTAGACCGGGGCATACAGACTGGAGGCCCAGTGGCCGCTGGATCCACTCTATTATCTCTTTCTTTTGCTGGCACAAAATTAATATAGATAGATAGATACATACATAGATATATGTATAGATATATTTAAATGTGAATTAAATACCTTTAGATGGCACTCCAGTTCTAACCAACTTTTTTTTTTCTTTTTTTACCTTTTGACCCACTTCATCCCGTTCCCTCAACCTCACTCCCCAGCCTCTGACAACCACCAATCTGTTCTCTCTATCTATGAGCTGGGTTGTTTTCTTTTTTAGATTCCACATATAAGAGAGATCATATGGTATTTGTCTTTCTCTATCTGACTTATGTCACTTAGCATAATGCCCTTGACCTCCATCCATGTTGTCACAAATGGCTAGATCTCATTCTTTTTTATGGCTGAATAATATTCCATTGTACATACATATCACAGTTTCTTTATCCATCCACCCATTGATGCACACATAGGTTGTTTCCATGTCTTGTCTGTTCTAAGTAATGCTGCAGTGAAGAATGGGAAGAATCTTTTCAAGTTAGTGTTTCCCTTTTCTTCAGGTAAAGACCCAGAAGTGAAATTGCTACATCATTTGCTAGTTCTGTTTTTAATTTTTCAAGGAATTTCTATTCAGTTTTCTATAGTGGCTGCACCAATTTAAATTCCCACCAGCAGTGCACAAGGGTTCCCTTTCTCCAAATCCTCACCAACACTTGTTATTTCATGTCTTTTTGATAACAGCCATCCTAACAGGTTATGTCTCATTACAGTTTTGATTTGCATTTCCCTGATGATTAATGATGTTGAGCATCTTTTCATGTGCCTGTTGGCCATCTGTATATCTTCTTTGGAAAAATGTCTATTCAGATCTTCTGCCCATTTTTTAATCTAAGTTATATGAGTTTTTTTATGTATTTTGGATATTAACCCCTTATCAGCTATATGATTTGCAAATATTTTCTCCCATTTGGTAGGCTGCCTTTTTATTTTGTTGAAGATTTCCTTTGCTGTGCAGATGCTTTTAGTTTGATGTAGTCCCACTTGTTTATTTTTGCTTTTACTTTTGATGTCAGATTCAAAAGATCATCACCGAGACCTGTGTCAAGGAGCTTCCTGCCTATGTTTTCTTCTAGGAGTTTTATGGTTTCAGATCTTACATTCAAGTTTTTAATCCATTTTGAATTAATTTTTGTGTATGGTGTAAGATAGAGGTCCATTGCATTCTTTTGCATGTGGCTGTCCAGCTTTTCCAACACCATTAATTAAACAGACTGTCCTTTCCCCACTGTATATTCTTGGCTTCTTTGTTGTAAATTACTTTACCATATATGTGTGGGTTTATTTCTAGGCTCTCTATTCTGTTTCCTTGATCTGTGTGTCCTTTGGTATGCCAATACCATACTGTTTTAATTAGTATAGCTTTATTTTAGAGTTTGAAATCAGGGAACACGATGCCTCCAGCTTTGTTCTTCTTTCTCAAGATTGCTTTGGCCAGTATGAATTGTAGCAGCCTCACAGAGTAGATAGGTTTCTTGGAGTTTTTTCCTGGTGACAGGTGCCATCTTTTTTAGTGTCATCTACCAAGATCAAAAATACTTATGTTTATTAAATCTAAAAGTTCTACATCTAAGACTTCTTTGCCAATTACGCTATTACATGTGCCTCCAGCTGCCATAGTCTCCTTCCCACTCAAGTAGTATACATAGCTGTTCTTTTTAAAGATGGTTGACATTCATGTGCCCTTCTTAGTATTTTGGACAGAAACAAAATAATATTAGAAAAACTCTTAGAAAATTACCAGGAGAATGCAAGAAATTTAGACTTGTATTTAAGTCTAGGTACTTTTCTCACTTAATAGTAAATCAGGACAGACAAGATTTCAATGTATAAATTCTGTGGTAATTGACTAGAGTAAAGGAAAGCTTGCTAGAATTTCTAATGTGTTTTGGAAATGATTAGAAGCAAAGTATAATTTATTGTCCATCTCTGCATGATATAATGGAAATACTTAATAGAAAAATAAATGGAACCTCAAAACAGTAAGAAATGTAATTTAGCAGACCATAATAATTTGAGATGTTTAGGTACAGATGCAAGAAACAGTACAGACTTTAGCAAGAAGCAGAAATTAATGTGCGTTCTTGTATATAAGCATAATTTAATAAGCTTTATCTACAGCTATAATATTTTTTTCAAACTGGACATTATCCTAGAAGAAAGGAAAAATTAAAAATAGAACTATCATCCAATTTGGGGTGGAGCCAAATATTTTCATCCTCAAGGCTTTTATTTTGTGTTTGTTATATTGATACTGCCAGAATTGTGAACAGGATGTTGTTTTTTACAAGTTACCTCCTCATAGAAAAATATCATACTTAGGGAAAAAATAATAAAATAATAGTTTTTTATGATTTAGATTTGATTGTTATTGAAAATATCAACTTACAATATCTCCTGAAGCCATTGGGAAAGTTGGCAAGGCAGCAGAGACCAGGAGGGGCAGGGTGGGGACAAGAGTCACCAGGCAGTTGGCTTCTAGCCTCACTTCCTCATTTACTTACCTGTGTCCTTAGATGTATCATTTGTCAGTGTTCTAAGAAGAAAGATATTAAATAAGTGTTGATATCTGCCTAGTCTTAAATCCATAAATGTTTCATGGCACAAATTTGACAGTTTTTATTTTAACGTTTTTTTAAAATGGAGGCTCTTGAAGTAAAGCACCAAACGTAGAATCGTGGAAATCGGCGATAAAAAGTACCCTCTCAAGTTACCAGCCCATACCCTGGTGATCTGTGTGGGGTGATGGCCTGTAATTAATTTTCTTTCCTCTTAATAAGATTATTCATGGGCACGAGTGTCGTTTGGTTTAACTTTAAGACACTGTCATCAGGGGACTGACCTGGAAGCTAGCTCTCCACTGCTCGCGTTTCTGCTGGCTTTGCTGTTTCTCAGGCAGAACTTCCTACACTGGGATCTGGATAAAGCATTTGAACAAAGCACGGAGGTTATTTCTGTTCAACCTACTAACGTGAGACTATAGACATCTACTCTATTCCTCCCCGTTCCGCCCCACCCCCGAATCGGAATAAGGCATCACTTTCTAGCGTTATTAACCTGAAAAATCAGACAGGCAGAGACACTACAAAGCCTATGTCTCAGAGCACTTCTGCTGTGACGAGGGCGGGATGGAGCGCCCTGTGGGGATGTTCTGCCCCGATGTCTACGAGCTTGTAATAGAGTTTCTTCCTCTGGTGGAAACTACCCAAGAAAGTTCCTCCGCCACAGCAGAGGAGGAGGAGCTGTATTACCAAACTGAGTGGAAGCCTTTCTTCTTCAGACAATTGTTCTTATTTTTTTTCCTTTTGTATCTCTTTTATTTCATGTGGTTTGAAGAATAATATGTGGAATTGGGAATAAATGTGTGTTAATTTCTAAGTTGAATTTCCAACACATTCTACTTCAGCTTTCTAATGTTTCAAAGGGGAACAATATAACTTACCCTCAATAGGATGTAAAAATGGAAAAAGTTTATTTGTAGAGGTAATGAAAAATAGTGTTTTCATATAAAATAATGAGACAATACTAATATGTTAAGTCTTTTCTTTATCTCATTCTTGAAACGATCTCTCTCTGAAAATCTACAGATGGTTCGCAAGCACCAGCCAGACCCCCTAAACCCCGGCCCCGCAGGACTGCACCGGAAGTTCACCACAGAAAACCCCATGGGCCTGAGGCTGCCTTGGAAAACGTCGATGCAAAAATTGCAAAACTCATGGGAGAGGGTTACGCCTTTGAAGAAGTGAAGAGAGCCTTAGAGATAGCCCAGAATAATGTCGAAGTGGCCCGGAGCATCCTCCGAGAATTTGCCTTCCCCCCTCCAGTCTCCCCACGTTTAAATCTATAGCAGCCAGGACTAAACACCAAAACATCGAGCAATCGATGAGTATTCCAGGAGTGTGGAAAGTATTCCAGAGGGGCGTCGCCGCCTCACGTGGCATCTGGAGAAGAGCGAGGCTTGGACGTCCTGCCTCGCCCGAAAGACAGCTGCGCGCTCAGGACGCCAGCGGCCGCGGCTTCCTCTTTTGCTAGCCATACTTTTAAATCAGGGTTGAACTGACAAAAATAATTTAAAGACGTTTACTTCCCTTCAACTTTGAATCTGTGAAATGCTTTTCCTTGTTTACAAGTTGGCGACGTTGCAGTTTGTTCTCGTTTTTAGTTTTGTTTTGGTTTTTTTGATACCTGTACTGTGTTCTTGCCGGACCCTTTGTAGCGTGGTCAGGTCTGCTGTAACAGTCCCACCCGTTCCTTCACCGTCCATGTCAGCAGCTAGTCACCTCTTCATTTTGGTCTCTCCCATCATATCCCCATCCCACCCCCACCAGGTCTAGTTCCATTTCTCTCATTTACAAGATGCTTTAAAAGTTCTGATTTTCGACTCATGAAACTAATGCAAAAAAAAAGTGTGTGGCCTTCACTACTGAGTCTTTTTTTGGAAACCATCGCTGTTGAGAGATGGAGAAAATCTGAATGTATAAAGCATTTTTTTTGTCAATGAATTGCCTTTTATAAGGGGTTTTCATATAATATAAAGGAGCTTCCCTTTTTAGTGTAAGTTTTGTGATTCTCAATCTTCCATATTCTCATCTCTGTCATCTCAGGCGTGTCACGACTCTGTAAAAATCTAAAATATTAGAAAGCAACTACTGCAGATATGGGAGAAATACACTTACACATGACAATGCCATACTGAAGTCATATGATGAGGTCCCTTGATATTTATGCCCGCATTACTCTGAGGCATGCTGAATAAGAGGGCCAGCTCCCTGAAATATATTAATAATTTGCAGATAAAATTATGGTCATTCCTTCCCCGAAGTGGAATAGAGTTCATTTCCTGTTTGACTTATTACACTCTGGTACCTAACCGGCTTAGGAACCAGCTCCTATTTCAGTGGAAACGTTAACTCTTCGATGCACTGTTAAGTGCTGATGCTACTGTGGCAATGTGTTTTGCAAAGTCCTTAGTCATCTTCTCTCTGCAATCAAATTAGAGTTCGTATCTAACTTGTAGACTCTCTCATTCATTGCTCCACATTGCTCCATCCAGTCAGGTGAAAGAAATTAATAGAGTTTTGCCTTTTTTGCAAAATGGTGGTTGGTTCTTCAGAAACCGTGTTATTACCTTTCGTAAATCTACAAATATTTATTGAGCATTTATGATGTGCTCGGCGCTGTTAGGCACTGTGTTTTTAAAGCACAAACTGTTGCAAGCTGATTCCAATATAATGTTTTCTGATTCTTTATCTGCATTTTCGATGGTAAGTCTTTCTGATGGACAAAGCCTAGAAGGTTCCCATCAGGGCTTCAGAATTTTCAGGCAGTTTGCTTTTATTTTTATTTCCTAATGAGAAGTTAGTAGAGAAATGAAACAAAACCAGGTCTGTGTAAAATGCTTGAACCAACAGTAGGTTTTCTAAATATGGACTAATTGTGGGGTTGTGCCTGTTTCGGCCACTCCTTTCTTAGTTTCAAACACAGTGTGATGCCAAGAAATGCATCCGACAGCGAGCCTCTCTTCAGGAATTGACATGACCAGACATCTAGCAGACCCCGGGGGAGTGAATGCCGTTCAAGACTGTCATCAGCCAGGGCGACCTGGGGAGGGGAGCTACTGCGTTCCTTTGCCAAGTGACAGTGGCCTTTCCTGACAGTTTGGCTGTCTTGATTGGGGGACTTGAGGAGTCACAGGCCTTGGGTAGTTTGTGCTCATGTTTTAATTTCTCCAGATGATTCTGAGCTGGTTAAGGTCCCTAGAGGGGAAGTTTCAATTTGCCTTAGTCCTTCCTGTGAGTACATACATATTCGAGTATAGCTTTTTACAATTTTTTAAAATCGTATCGGCTAATTCTCCATGACTTTGTGAACTCCATGTTCTGTCCTCATGATCTTTCACTTGTTTTCTCAGTTTCTGATGTCACATTGGAATAGCACTGTATATTTTGGCTTTTTTTGACTTGCTGATTACAGGTATAGTCTAAAAGCCAGAAGTTGCCACTTCATATTTATGATGTTCTTAATAGAGTAGGAAATGATGTAAAATTATGAATGTTAGAAAACTTAGTACATTCTCAAACAATTTTCAAGTAATATGGAAAATTTCCCTTGAGAATTAGAAAAAGACTGGTAACGACGTAGTAAATTTAGACCTGAAATGTTTTTAAAAATCTATTTTGCAAAGAAAACTAGCCTCCACCAAAATCTCTCTGCATCTTGTACTCAATAGCAACCATTAGTTTTGTCATGAAAAAGAATGAGTCAGAAAGTTGTACAGGATCAAATGGAAAGAAGGAAACTTTCTATCCAACACTGTCATGGAAACCCGTTGCTACCTATTACCTATGACTTACCAAACTCCAAAAAAAAATTTTTGAAGAAATAATTAATCCAAAATGCTTTTTTAATTATAAAAGTGACTACCTATTATTGGTTGTAAATGAAGCAGACTTAGTTGCACTGTGATCCAAAAAGGAGACATTCCTCCCATTTCTCCAGACTTGGTAATAAGATGATTTTTTAAGCCACTGTGCCATGTCCATAAAATTAAAACTTAGCATGGCCAACAGTAACCTGCTCTCCCCTACCCGGCAACATGTTCTGGGGGTGAAAGTACTGATCCTCAGTGATAGTCCAGTAAATTAATCTCCATAATCTCTTTTTTTCCCTTTCATGTAATATCCTGACCAATTGTCTAGAATCAGAGCAATGCTTTTGGTTGCCTTGAACCTCCCTCCACAGAGACGACCTGTAGCCCCTCTCCATCCGTTTCCCCTTGCCCACGTTGCAAAAAGTCTTAATAATAGATCCCTAATGGCAACTTCAAAGGGCCCATTTGTTACTCAATGTTTCACACACAAGAACACTTGCAAAGATTTCTTCATAATGTGAATTTTTTGTTTTTCAGTTCCAGAAGCATTTCCTACAGTTTGGACATTACTTTTCCTCTCGGATTTTCAACTTGAAGCTTTAATTTGCACTGAATTGCCTAACCTGGTTAAAATTTTAATTTTTCCTCTTATTAAGCTGACAGATTTGGAAGCAAATTACAGTGTGTCTCAAAAATACAGGTACTACCTGTTGACCTGGAATTTTAGTGCTTCTGGGAGAAGTTTCCAGAAAAAGACAGCAATAGAGTGAAGGGTTTTCTTCCCAATTACTGTTTTATTTTTTTAAAGGCCTTTTTTAAACTTGTCTAATGTGGCAAATAGTTATGTGTTCAATTAATTTATATTTTATTCACCCTTTTTCAATTCTGGTTATTATGTAAACTCAAGTACTTTATCTGTTCTTTTAAGGTATTTTATAAAATGAATGTTAACAAAATGCAGAATTGGTATTTTGTCTTTCAAATGAGCACAAACATTTCTTTCAGAGCATTTCTATTTGGTGATTTTTCTTCTTGATTTTAAGCAAAAGACATCTGATTTAAAAGCTCACTGGACCAAGTGGTACAAAGTACCCATCCCAGAAGATTTTGCTATTAAATATCAAAACCATGTCATTTTAAGAATCCTACATAGATGAGCTACTCCCATGTCTTCGAACTGAAAGTCAAAGTTATACTAAGGTTCCAAGTAAGGAATGCCCGATCTGGGAAAGGCTGCAGGTCCTCGGCTGACATAGCATATAGTCGATCATTCCTAATCAACAAGGAATCTGTTCTCTAAATTCTTGATTTTTCTAACCATTTGTTACTCCCAGAATATAGTGAAGAGAGAACAATGTTAATAACTGCTTTTATATCAAGAACCACAGCAGAATGTTGTGAAAGTACGTGGTACATCCAAAATCCCATGCATAGTAGTAATAGTTATACCCTCAAAGCGCATAGAATTAGATGGGAGATACATAAGCAAGTAATTCCAATACAAGAAATGCTGTACACAAGTCATCACATTCTACTGGAATTACGTGCTTACGGTAAGTGCTTAAGAACTTTTATTGGGCCCTTACTGTATGCAAGGAACTTAGTATTAAAGCGTTTAATCCTGTCAGCAACCATCCTGCCTCTTCTAGGACTGTGGAAGGAGAATAGAGCATGATACATGCCTTCTGGAAAGGCAGCCATGTGACAAGGCCGAATAGCATTTTGTCAGCCTAAAAGAGGAGCAGGGTTTTTGTCGTTGTTAAGAACTCGAGAGGTAAAGCTTTTCAGCTAGGATCAGCACACGTGACACTGTTATTTAGGCACAGGCAAGAAGCCGTGAGGCCTGAGGAAGAGAAGAGATTGGGGGGGCTCAGCTGTGCCTGATGGACCATGCAAGCCACTCAATGACCCAGGTCCGCAAGATGAAGAATCCCTGGCTGGGATCAGAGGTGACAGGAGCCATGAACACACCCAGAGGAAAGGGTGTGCCTACCAGGAATCCACATCAAATGACAATCAGGCAACAAGCCAAGGGAAATTTAAGTTTCATCACTCTTCTTCATGTCCCTCTTTTGTTTGATTTTCAAAGGAAACTTGGGCAGTATTCTTAATTATCTATTTCTGCCTCTTTTTCATCCCTACTGCCACTACCCCCTTTTGGGTCTGAATTATGACTCCCCTAGAATTTTAAATACCTTCTAATTAATTGACTGCCATGGCTCAAGTGCAAGACAAAATGAAGTTTCTGAACCCAAATGCAATGCTGCTTCTCAGTGTAAAACCCTGGACGGCTTTACACGGTGGGGCTTCTTTGTCTGCATTTGTCTTCATCGTCACCTCCCGCCCCAGCCCCTCTTCACTCCTGCCGAGCTTGCAATGGCCCAATGTGCTCCATGCTCCAGGTACATGCCAATCCTTCTGAACAGTCCTCTCCCTTTCTCCAGCCTAGGCGACTCTTATTCTTCAAAGTCCAGCTCAAGCGTGGCCTCTGCGGAGCATTCCCTAGTGTATCCCACAGGTTGGGTTGACCATGCCACCGTTTATGTCTCACACGGCACCAACATTATAATGCTTACCATGTGGTTTTGCAAGGACTTCATTCCACAGATGGCCCCAACTAGACAACTCCTTTAGTAGAGGAAGTGTGTCGAATTCATGTCTGGGTCCCAAGCTCCTAATACAGAGCCCAGCACATAGTACACAACAAAATGCTTCAAATCATAAAAATTGTGCCCTGAAGTAGCCAGTAGTAGAAACAGTTCTGAGTTCTGGTCTCGGCTCTGCCACTAGTTACCTGTGTGCAATGGCATCTCTCTGATCCTACTTACCTCACCTGTGGCCTGGAAGATAGAGTCTGCTCACTAATGTGATTACGGTAGATGCCTTGGTTTTTATTCACTGTTGGATGGGCAGGAAAAATTATGTAATAACAAAAAAATCAGATTCACAAAGTAAAAGCTAGGAGATTTTAAAGTTTGTTTTGGTAAAGCTCAAACCATTTTTTTAGTAACGAGAAGCTAAGAGAATTCTTAATTCTTCATAAAGAGGTTATGACAAACATGTCTGTTCAAGAGACTACTACTCACAGATTCCCATGGCAATGTGATAGTGGGGAAGAGGACGGGCTCCGGAGCCACATTGCCTAGAATCAATTCCTACCTTTGTCACTTCCAAGCTATGTGGCCTGAGGCAAGTGTCGTAACCTCTCTGTGCACTAGCCTCATTTGTAAAATGGGAATAGCAACCACATCTACAGTAAAGGATTAATAGGGAGAGTCAATGGGTGAATACAGACAGAATTTAGAACATGCCTAGTACCATTGGATGTGCAGTAAATGGCACCTCTCATGACCATGGATGCTACCCAGGGAACTTCAGCTACATTTTATCTCCCAGAATCCCCAGAGTAGACAGCAAAGAGAACCATGTCTGATTTGTCCTGTTACTTCACATGGCAAGGGTAGACAACAGTGGAAGAAGATGGCTCTCGCTAAACTGAGGAAAGTTGAAACTTTGAAGAGTAGTGAGCTACACACTCTGCCAACAAATTTCAGTGTTTAGTTTTTAACATAAAACCTTTACTCCCATCATACACTCTTCCTATACTTGCTACTCAAAGCCCAGTGCAATGAAGGTAGAGATTAGAGATGGTGGGCCGGACCCCCAAGGCCAGTCTGGGCTCCTCGGGAGCTGCTTTCTTCCATATTGACCACTACCTTGACCAAAAGGCAATCTCTATTTTATTAGCAGATGGAAGGATTTTCTTTTTTAATTTTAAAATCTAGTTCAGGAACAAAAATGATTTTATCTTAGGGCTATAGAGAAAAGTGGCATAACTATTGGTTTCTTTTTGTTCCTCATACCAAATGTAACTGGGTGTTGAAGACTTTTTCCTCTCTTTCAAAAATGAGGCTAAAGTCCCAAAGCTGAAGACAACAGATGCTAAGTACCTCCATAGTCTAAAAACCCACCTAGCAAACCTCTGCAGGACCCATTAAGAGGGCGGTGGCAGAACTCTCTTCTGCAGTCCCCAAAGTACATAAGCAGAAGATGATGGATTTGAGGGTTGACCTTGGAGAAGTGAGTGATGAGTGAGAATGCTCTGAATTGAATCCGTCTCTTCCAATCCAAGTAATGGTATCAGAAGAGAGCCAATCATGGAGATTAGGGAACTGTCATTTTATTCCCTTGGATGTCTACTTACACAGTGGACTTTCTCATCTGCCATCTGTGAGTATTTGAGCAGAGTGAACACAGAATGCTTGAGAGGAGTCTGCAGTAAGTCACCTGACAAGCAGCCCCACCATTGGGAGGGCGAGGATACACCACGTTCCCACAGGACGAGCAGACCCTGTCAAGCTTGAGCCATCCCGCCCTGCCCTCGAAGGCTGCCTGCCAGGCACGAGGATCCAAGCAACAAAGGACTTTGGGGTGTATGCCACCAGACCAGGCATGAGGGCGTCTAGCCAGTGGAGAGCTTGTGTGTCACACATAAGCCAGCGAGTGACCTCCTGCAGAACTAGCACATGAAGTCGGTGACAGAATCCACAGTTAGGGACTCACCAGGCAGATGAAATAAAAAGTCGAGATGCAATACAATAGCACGAGTGATGTGGAGAGAATTGTGCTCCCTTTCTATAACTCTTCCTCCCCTGTCCCAATCCTGAAGAAGCAGAAACCTGAGAGTGAAGAGCAATGTAGTAAACAGTAGCTCTTGCTCCTTCTCTTCTCCTCGCCCCTGAGGCTGAGGCCTGGCCAGGCCTGGGAGACAGTGGACACACTACACTGGATTAGAATGTTGGTGACCACACAAGAAAAGTGCGACTCAGTAGTCAAAAGTGGTGATCACTGACAAAATCTACACCTTCCTATGTTGGCAGTCCATCAGTTTCAAAGTATTTAGTAAATTGGTTACTAAGAATAAAAGAAAACAAAAATAATTTCATTTCAAATGGACTTCGGTGGTTTCCTGAGCTTAGAAACAAAAGTTCAAAGTCAGATGGCCATCACCAGAGGGTCGCTTTCCAGGAACATGCTGTGAGCTGGGCTGATCCATTTTGTTTCTCTGGAAAAACTTCCTGCCTAGCGAGCTCAGTTCTGTCCAGCTCTCAAGCTGCCACTTCTGGCTAACCCTCCCAGTCTCCAGCAGAGGCCCTCTCCTCTTTGTCATCCACAGTGCAGGGTCCAATCCTATCCCCAACTCTCCCTTCTCTGCACAAACTCCTTCCCCTCCAGTAAACTATTCAAACCTCATTTGTTAGCTTATTTATCAAGTAAATATGTGGGGCACAAAATAAAACATCTGGCAGTGACTTACCTAGAGTATCAGTGACTGTGCTGAAATTACTCTCAAAAGGAAATACATGTTCCCCTGAAGAAATGTTCCAATGTAGGATGCAAAGTATCTTTGCAAAAAATTAAGCTTAACCACAAGTACCTACGCCCTGGGCTATTCAGACATGAATCAATACCAGCAGTACCAAGGCACTTATTTGCATAAATGTTTAATCAAGAGCGATGCACAATGTTATTTATCTGGAATTTCTTGCAAAATAAGGGAGAATAGATGGTCAAAGCAAGACTAATGTATCTCTATTGGGCTTTTAAATCAGTGCTAACATAATTAAACATTTATATAGCACTTTGGGTTTGGGAAAGTTTTATACTTTGTTTTCAAAGTTATATTTCTCAGAACTCTTTTGAAATAGGTATATCCCACTTGGTATCTTCTTTTTGCACATAAAGATAATTTATAAGCCAGAGAGCAAAAATAACTTTCCCTGGGTCACTCAACAATTCACAAGAGCTAGAATTGTAATTCATCAGTTAGTCCCACTCTACACCTAAAACACAATCAGGCATGATCTAAGCAATCCTTTTGTGGGCAAGAAAGGGCATTGAAAATGAGCGAGTGACCTTCACCTGTGACCGTTATTACAAATTGCAGCAGGTGTGGGCCA